GCAGTTTCTAATACTGTTGTCATGAGATTGTCTGATAGGGTTAGGCCTTTGATTATTATTTTTCTGAAAACTTTTCCTTTTGTTAGAGTTTCTGCCAGGTTCATTAGTTTTCAAACTGTGTTTTGGTTTGGCCTTTAGAGTTTGTTTCTCTGGTATGACCTTCTCATGAACAACTTTAGTACCAGAAGTACTAGCATGGCAAATGGGGCTCAGAGTCTGTGGCACTATGACCTTTTTAGCCTTAGCAACTTTGGTGCTAGGCCTTACAGAAGGCTCACCAGACTCTGGTTCAACATATCCAAGACCAGAGGTGAAGTTATGAGAGTCACCAATATTCTTCATAGAAGATTGCATCTTCAGAAGACTATTATATTTACTCTCAAGTTCCTCAATGTCTCTTATTCTTTTCAGAAGAGACTCATTTTCAGCTTTCAGTCTATCTCCTTCCTCAGTTAAGAGATTAAGTTTACACTCATTCTCTTTTCTTAGATTAGAGATATCAACTTTCAGCCTACTGTTCTCATCTTTAACAGAAGAATAAGTGGCTTGGATAGTTTGGAACTCTTCCCAAAATGATGACATTGGATCATCATTTAAGGCTGTGCCTACCGAAGAAGAAACAGAGTCAGAAGTAGAGCATACCTCATCATCTGATTGTGCCATGAGGCAGAGGTCTTCTGTTTCTGCATCCAAGCAGCAGAATGCTTCATCAGAGTCGGAGTCTAAGCTGGACTCTGATTCAGAGAGTGGATCTCTCTCAGCTTGTTCTGAGACAAATGCTCTTCTTCTTCTGTGTTGATCATCTGGTTTCTTTTCTTCTTCATGTCCTTGCTTCTTGGACACTCTTGGATAGGGGCAGTTTGCTTTGAAGTGCCCAGGTTGTCTGCAGCTGTAGCAGAGGTACTCTCCATTGCTTTCAGAAGGTTTGGTCTTCTGATGAGGTCTTCTGATGGAAGATGGACTCCTTCCATCTTTCTTCATAAACTTCTTAAACTTCCTGGCAAAAGCAGCCATATACTCATCAGATAAAAGAGTAGAGGGGTCAAAGTTACTGACCTTTGAGGTGCTGGCAGTGAGAGCAGTGGTGGTCCTTTCATCAGGAACTTCCTCCTTCTCTTCATGCATCTCAAACTCATAAGCCTTGAGATCAGATATGAGTTTCTCAGTGGCATAGGTCTTGATATTCTTGCTTTCCTGGACAGCAATCACCTTCATCTTCCAGGCTGAAGGTAGTCCCCTGAGGATCTTCATGTTGATCTCTTTGATGGTGAGCTCCTTCCCAAGCTCAGAAATCTCACTGATGAGAATCAGCAATCTCTCATGCATCTTAGCAATGCATTCTTCTGGCAGAAGTTTGAAGTCATCAAACTTCTTCATTGCAATGGTCAACTTGTTATCTCTTTCTTGTTCATCTCCTGCTCCAATCTCATCCAGCTTGTCCCAGATTTCCTTAGCAGTCCTGCACTTCTTTATTCTATTGAAATATCTTTCATCAATAGCTTTGTAGAGAATGTCCTTGGCAATGTTGTCAAGGTTGTACTGTCTTTTCTCTTCCTTGGTCCATTCAGACCGGGCTTTCTCAATCATCTGGGGCTGAGAGTTATCAATGGAGTGAGCAGGATTGATCTTCATGAACTGAATAAAGGGGCCACTTTCCAAGACTTCCCACATTTCATCATGAAGGGCACATAGATGTGCCTTCATCCTGATCTTCCAATCATCATACTTCTGATCTGTGAACATAAGATGCTTTGCAAGAGAATTATCCATTATAATAAATAAAGAGGCTAAGAACAAGTGGATCTTTGTTCAGAGAGTAACCTAAAAGATTACAAGAACAAGGAGGCTCTGATACCACTTGTTGGTCCCGATTAATATGGTAATCAGTCTAGAGGGGGGGGTGAATAGACTGATTGGTTTTTCAAATTTTCTCTAAGTCCAAAATGACTTATCAGAGAATGTCTGATTCTGGTGACAGAGAAAGGCTGGTTCTGATATCAGAACTGGCCTTGGCAGCGGATTCTGATCTGTCCGGGTAGCCTCAGAAATACTAAGGCAAATGCCTTTCTGATAACTCTGATAACAAGATCTGCTGAACACAGATTCCAAGTTTTAGAGTTAATCAGTTAATATCCTAAGTGCAGAAATATAAATTGCAGTAAAGTAAATGACACCGGATATTTTATAGTGGTTCAAGGAACAACGCGTTCCTCTAGTCCACTGTTCCACTAGCTTTGAAGTAGATCGGTTACAAAGCTAATTCCTAGCACTTAAGAAGCACTCCTCGTCTTCTTCAAGCCTAGCTGCCACCCAGGATGCAGTTCCACGTCCTGATGGCTGGTCCTTTCACTCAGCTTCCCGGAAGTATCACCACTTCACTACTGCAGTTACTTGGACGCCCTTCTTTTTAGAAGATCCTTTGAAAAACAAAGTTTTTCCTCCAACTAGCTTCGTCACAAATGATGTTTGATGAAGTTCTTGAAGTGTTGAAGAACAGGATGAACTTTGCTCGTTGTTGGGGATGAAAGATTTGGAGTTTGAATCTTCCCAACGTAGGACTTTTCTTGTAGAGTGTTATGAAGGTTGAATCTCAAGAAGTATGTTCTGAGTAATGAATGGAGCAAAAGTTGTAGCAAAGTTTTTTTTTTCTGTTCTTCGGTGAGTAGCTTATATACTGGGGTTGTCTGCCCGTTGGAGGAGGAGACAACTGCATTGAATGCGCGTATTGTTGACTTGACCGCCGTTTTGGAAGGTTTCTATTTTTATAATATATCTTCCCGGATTCCTTGGTCAATCATTTGCAATCAATCCTTCAGCGTATCAGGCTCATTTAATGTGCATTAAATGCTTTCCTTTCATGCACAGTCTTCTAGCCGTTGGATGTTTTTACCCGTTGGATTCATAGCTGTTGGATGTTGCTTGAAATCTTCTAAGTGTTAGTCGGGCTCTGATCAGGCTCTTCTGATGTGTTGGATTCTGATGGCTTCCTGAGTTCTGATGGCTTTCTGATCTCTGACTGAACTCTAACTCTGACTCTGATAGGTCCGCTGATGAGTACCTCTGATCTGTAACTCTCATCGGTTATCAGATGTCCAATTTATCAGCAGATCTCATGGTGCAACTCTGATGGACTTCTGATAAGAGAACTCTGATAAAGCAGTTCTCACAGAGCAAGTCTGGTCGAGCAATTCTGATGCACTTCTGATCTGATCCAAAGTAGAGCAACTCTGATCGTCGACTACACTAATACTTACAATTGAAAATTCTAATACATAAAATCTAATTTGGGGGTATTCTAACTTTCTAATCCTATAGCATCATCAAAATCTAATTACATTTATTCCTTACAGACTATTTATGTGTGAGTGTTTAACTGATCCAACAAACAAATGAGATGGGCTAAGAAATGATGAGCAAGTAAGATTATCAGATATTATTAATGTCTGATAAACCCCTGATGCAATACGCTTGTTAAGGTCGAAGGCCGTTCGTCTTACCCCTCGGTAGAAGAGTTGTGAATAGTATGCTAGAAATAAGCTAGAATGCTAAGGGTAATAAGTTGTCAGCCCCTTACAATGAAATAAATGCTACTATTTATACTACCAATGGACAGTTGGTCATGCTGACATGGAGAGCTGTGAATGGCTGATGCTCCAACCACCAAATCTCCAGCATTAAATGCGTTTCCCGCCATAATATGGGTTTCCCGCCCAATCTGTGGAGACGGGCGTCTCCCTAGGCTTGGGGCCTGCTCCTGGTAAATACTGTAACGGGTTGTGGGACGTACATCCTTTGGCTCTTATGTAGAATATGTTAATTAGATCCCTCCGGGCGTGGCGGGCTAGGTATGGCAACGTTCGTCCCGTGTGCCTTGGACTCTAGAGCAGGATCAACCTTCTCTGATGGAGACGTTCATCGAGGGACTTAGGTGTTGTTGGGCCTAGATGTTCGTCCGAGGAGGGGTAAATGGGTCGACCCTCTAATGGGGCCATTAACCCAACAAAATGTATCATGACTTTCATTTGCATCTGAATGTCAGTAATGGTATCAAAAGATTCATCTGTGTTTATGTTCTGAGACTTTTGGACTGCGACATTACTATTGAGAATGTGTGTTGTCCTAGCGCTAGCAGATGAGCTACCTCGTACACAATGTGCGGTACGTTTGTTCTTTGAATAAAGCTTCTAGGTACTTAGTATATGGCATCTGCTTCTTCGTAACTGCAGTTCCATGTCACTTATGTTTCTAAAAGATATATTTATATTTATTTATACAATTAAATGATATTAGAAAATAACTTTTATTTAGTGAATTAAAGTTGAAATTAAAGAAAAAGGCAAATGCATTTTTACCTCTTGATATGCTCTCCATCTATCTAAGGAACGTTCTTCTCCTTGAACTTCACTTGTAACTGGATTAAAACTTGTGCCAGTGCAATTTTTGTAACACTGTCCCCAAATATAATTACCTTTATGTAAATTATGTATTGAACATGACGTATCTAGTAATGAATTTACGAGGTTGTAAATTTTTGTTATTTCTTTTGCGTGAATAGTAAATTCCACGTGGGGCCCACACTCGGAGCGGGGGTAACCCGATAACACGAGACCACATGTTATATTCATCTTGGTCTAGATAATAGTTACATGGTGGTGGAAATTCATAATGGGCCATAAGAAAGGCATTGGGTTGACCGGTTTGTCAAACAGGGCCCAATTACCAGTACCGACAATTTCTTCAGATAACAGTCCGAAATGAATTTCGGAGACTTTAAAATTAAATTTGGGGAATGTACATTCATTCTTAAGATCCATAATTTCTATGGACATGTAATATATTTTATTTGACCCGATAAAATAAAATATGCTTAAAAGAGTCCGAAAGATACAACTTTCGGGGCCGATTGTACAGTTCTAGACATATTGGGATGACCTCCCACACAAGTGGGGGCCACCCCACGAATTTGTGTGGGCTATGATAGGGGAGAGGACGGATGAATGGGATGGGAGGGTGTAGGCAATGTTGACTTGAAGAGAATGGCATCAAAAGGACATTGGAAGGGTCCATGCCATGCTATCATTGTGTAATAAGCCAAAAAGAGGGTGTTGCCTCTCACCTCCATCATTCATTCGACCCAAGGCATCCAAGAGGAGTAAAAGAGCTCTGCAACTCCATTCTTTCATAGCTAATTTTGAGCTCAAGTCCAAGGCATCCAAAGAGGGAGTTTAAAGAAGGGAAAAAGGGAAGAAAAGGTGTGGTGATTAAGGTAATAACCTTATCATAACTTTTCCTTTATTTTTCTCCTACCATATGAGATATATATCATGTGAATAACCCCTAGGATGGTTCTATATGCCCAAAGTGTAGAACAATGGGTTGAAGGGTGGTTTTAAGTCCAAGAGCGGACTTAGAAGCCATAGAGACCGGTTCACCGGAAAATAACCTTTTAAGGGTTATTTGTATTGATTAAAATTTTATGATGTTAAAACCTTGTTAGGCACTTGTAAAGGGTGATTTAAGAACTTTCACGAAGTTGAAAGAGTTACCGGAGTTGTCGCCGGAGTTCATCAAAGTTCGCCGGAGTTTCACCGGAGTTCAACCGGGAAGGGTAGGACTTCATAACGCTCATTCGAGGTGAGTGGACGGCTTAATGTCTTATAACTCTTGGGTTAAGTATGAGATTACCTAAATAAATGTTATAAGTATTCATAATGATGTTTAAAAGAGTTTAAGCATGTACTTAGCCTAGGTAATTAGGCCTATGTGAATAAAACTACATGATGATGCATGTGAAGAATATGAAAAATGTATAAAAACATTTGTGATATTTTGGATGACCAAAATGGCATTTATTGGTTGTTTTAGACATGATATAGGTTGTATAAAAATTTCGGGTCAAACGGATCACGTTTCGGGGGTCAACTCGGGGGTCAACGGGCCGTTGACCCAAAACTCCGAACATACCCGGCGCCGGGTATAGGGCATACCCGGGGCCGGGTAAGCTGCTGCCTCCATATTACGTTTTCGCCGAAAACGCGAATCGGAGCCCGGTTCGAAGGGGGGTTGATCCCGTACAACCTATGTGTGTATATTGTGCATGGAATTGCATGGAACATGATATTTAAATGTCAAGGTTGATATTTATTGATTTAATTCTAAGACTTGGTTTAGTCTTTAGTAATAATATGATATAGACCCTGTCTAGTGTGATATGTGGTAAGTCATAGGTCGGGTGGAGTACCCAGGGATCGGGCGTGTATCCTCAAAACTCAGTTATAGGGTGGAGTACCCAAGGATCGGGCGGTTATCCTCAAAACTCGGTTATATAGGGTGGAGTACCCAAGGATCGGGCGGTTATCCTCAAAACTCGGTTATATAGGGTGGAGTACCCAAGGATCGGGCGGTTATCCTCAAAACTCGGTTATATAGGGTGGAGTATCCAAGGATCGGGCGGTTATCCTCAAAACTCGGTTATAGGGTGGAGCACCCAAGGATCGGGCGTGTATCCTCAAAACTCATAGATTACATTTAATAATCTAGGACCGGGTGGTGTCCCTATGGTAATTTACTTGAACAAGGAGGAGTTCTATACACTCATAGGTATATGGGTGGGTTGGGATTTAAGTCAAGGACATTGGCTTCTATTATTTTCCCAAATAAACAATGACCTACGGGTCGGGTATTTCCAAGTGTATATATACTAATATGTATTTCAAAACTTGGGGGAAAGACTATACGTATATGTATCACCCTATGTTTGGGTCTTATACTTAAAACGTTAGTTATTCTACATTTAGCTTGCTACTCGCTCGGTACTTGTACTGACCCCTTCGGGGGGGCCCACCATTTCAGGTTGAAGCTCAAGTTGCTATTCTCACCTTGCTCGGTGAAGTGATCCAAAGGGAGACGTGGTTCGTGCTTCCTTTATTGTTTTCAAACTATAAACTATGCTCATGGATATTTTGTAATAAATACATTTGTTTTGGGCCTGCGTGCCTACGTTTTGGCCATGTGTGGCTCACGATTGAATATTGAATATTTCCGCCATTCGTTCAATCCTAATATGTGATGTTGTTATATGTATGTTTACTTACTGAGTATGGTATGGACTATGTTCATGGACGCCTTGTTTGACTAAGTTACGTTGACTCGCGGGTGACGTCATTTAGTCATACGGCGGTTGTACACGCGCTCAGATGCGGTCTGGGGCGTGACAATTAAGTGGTATCAGAGCCATCTCAGTTTCTAAACTATGTAATCAACCTCTCACAAGAGATTTTACAAAAGAGTTTTACCGAAAACCATGAGCATTGTATTTTGACGCTTATAGAACTATTGTTACCTAAGTTGCAAGGTCTCTGGTTGTTAAGATGGTACCCTTAACAATTGGTATGGCAGTGACTTGGACCGATACGTGTCTATAACGTTTTCCGTCAATTGACATTGATTGGAGTCTAACGACTCGTCCAAATTCCTTTTCAGAAATGGAGGGTAGACGCATGCAGACCAGGAACAATCCGAGAGGGCAAGCACTGGTAGTTTCTGTTGAAGCTAGTCGGGATGCATCTCGAAGCTCCAGAGGTGGAAGGGGAGGCCGAGGAACCTGTGGAGGCCGTGGAGGTCGCGGGGCCCATCGAGACCAAACTGTGAGCGACGGTCATGTGAGCTCGGTGTATGAAACCCACACCGAGGACTATGACTCAACCTACGTTCCCGGAACGGAGCATGAGGAGACCCCATATGATGGGGGCGATTTCCACACTGATGATGAAAATGATGATGAGAGTGATGCCCAATTCGCCCAAATGGGTGAATTACTTGAGTGGTATCAAAAGGAAAAACTAAGGAGAGACCTTAGGCGCCAAGCAAGGCGTGTTTCTCAAGGGGTTTCGGGTCAAGGAAGCCGAGGAGCTTCAAGGGCCACACCTGCGGTGCCACAAGGTGGGCATGAAGGAGGTTTTGTGGTGAGAATCTCCAAATACCTCAAGGAGGCTAGGGCCTTGGGGTGTAGGTCTTTCGATGGCACCGGCGACATTACCGTTGCCGCCGATTGGATCAAGAAGGTGAAGGATGCATCGAGAGACATGCAAATTACACCGGACATGAAGCTAACCGTCGCTTCACGGTTGCTTGAGGGGATGGCTTCTACATGGCGGGAAGGTGTAGAAGGAAAATACCGTGGGAACATCTCATGGGAAAATTTTGAGCAAGAATTTTATGCCCAATACTACTCCGATTTCGAGGTTAATGTGAAAAGGAGAGAGTATACCAACCTCAAGCAGAAAGAGGGTTGCACTGTTAAGCAGCTGGAGCAGGAGTTTAGAACCTTGGCTAGGTTCTTACCAGAGTATGCGATCGATGAGGACCGCATGACTGAGCACTTTTGGGATGCCTTACTTTTAGACATTCGAGATCGTGCTACATACTCACGCCTCATGACTTTTAGTGAGGTGGTAGAACAGGGCATGCTGGGGGAGGCCCAGTGGAATGAAAGGAAAGCAAGAGATGCCGAAGAGGCAAAGAAGAGGAAGTGGAATAGTTCGGGGCCGCCCGATCATTCCCGAAGGAACAACCACGGTGGTGGTGGTGGTGGTGGTGGCTCATTCAAGGCACCGGCTCCACCGGCAAAGAAGAATAGGGACGCGAGGTGGCACGGACCTAGGCCACAAAACTCGGGGGCACCTAGATGTCCCAATTGCTCAAAACAGCACTTTGGGAAGTGCAATGAACCACCGAGATGTTTTAAATGCGGGAATGCGGGCCATATGAAGGCCAATTGCCCTCAATTGATGCAAGAGAGTGCATCGGGAGCCGGGGGAGGGACCATGACGGGAAGGAATCGTGCGGGACCGTCACACGGTGGAACGGGAAGAGGCGGCGCGTCAACAAGCAATGTCGCGTCCGTCAACCAAGGCGGAGCCCAAGCAAGGGTCTACGCGATGACCGAGGCCGATGCTCGGGCCAACCCCAACTCCGTTGCAAGTAATCCCTTGTACACACTTGTATTTTTCATGTACATACATGTTATAAGCTCTAGGGTGCATGTACGGGTTAACCGACGGCATTTTCAGTTCGTTTTCGGTTGAAAAATGAAGCTGGCAGTAGCTTACCCGGCGCCGGCCAGGGGGGGCAACCCGGCGCCGGCCCGAAAAAATTCCCGGAGGGTGCTATCCAGTAGCTTACCCGGCGCCGGCCAGGGGGGAAACCCGGCGCCGGTCCGGGGAGAATTTTCCGATGTTTCGCTCCAGGGGATACCCGGCGCCGGTCTGGGCCATACCCGGCGCCGGCCCAGTTCATTTTTTCCACTTTCCGATTCCAGTAGCTTACCCGGCGCCGGCCAGGCCTATACCCGGCGCCGGTCCAGTGTATTTTCTTCCAAAAAAAAAATCGTTTAGCCCTATTTTCGAACCGGTACGTGTGTAGTGTGTCTTACATGACTTATATATGTAGGAACCTTAAAGATCAATGGTAGAAACGCAAGAATTCTCATTGATACCGGGGCACAACGTTCATTCGTGAGTGAAGCGTTTGCCGAAAGTTTAGGCGTACCGTTGATAGCAATGACCCAACCCTTGTTGGTCTCTACACCGTTGGGAGACGACGTGGAGAGGAAACACTATTATCCATCGTGTGAGGTAGAAGTAACGAGTCAACCCTTGACTTATGACTTTGTACCTCTAAGTATGTTGGAATTCGATGCAATCCTAGGGATGGATTGGCTCGAGAAGTATCATGCTCGAGTAGATTGCTACGCCAAGGTGTTAGAGCTCGAAGACGCTGATGGAAACGCTCTACGTTTCGAGGGAGATCGGGTAGGATCTCATAGCTGTATCATATCCGTGATGAGGGCACAGAAGATGATGAAGAAGGGATGCCACGCATACCTTGCTTACGTGGTTGACGAAACAAAGAAGGAGGCTGACATCAACGATGTACGCGTCGTGTGCAAGTATCCGGATGTCTTTCCCAAAGACTTGCCGGGACTTCCACCCGATAGAGAGATCGAGTTTGTGATCGAAGTAGAGACGGGAACAAAACCCATTTTCGATTCCTCCTTATCGAATGGCACCGACAGAGCTTCAAGAATTGAAGATCCAATTGCAGGAGCTATTGGACAACGGCTTCATTAGACCTAGTCATTCACCGTGGGGAGCACCGGTACTCTTCGTGAAGAAGAAGGATGGTACATTGAGAATGTGCATAGATTACCGACAGTTGAACAAGGTCACAATCAAGAATAGGTATCCTTTACCGAGGATTGATGACTTGTTCGATCAACTTCGGGGGGGCGATGGTGTTCTCAAAGATTGATTTGAGGTCGGGTTATCATCAGTTGAAGATCAAGGAGAGTGACATACCTAAGAGTGCATTCCGCACTAGATATGGTCACTATGAATTTCTTGTGATGTCATTTGGGTTAACCAATGCACCGGCAGCATTCATGGACTTGATGAACTGAGTGTTTAGTGAATACTTAGATCAATTCGTGATAGTATTCATTGATGACATCTTGATATACTCCAAGAACGAGGAGGAGCATGAACATCACTTGAGGCTTGTACTTGAACGACTTAGAGAAAAACAACTCTTTGCCAAGTTCTCCAAATGTGAATTTTGGCTTAAAGAGATTGGCTTTCTCGGGCATGTCATATCCGGTTCGGGCGTTGCTGTGGATAACGCCAAGATAAAAGCCATCATCGATTGGGAGAGACCCAAAAATGTGAAAGAAATACGTAGTTTCCTTGGCTTAGCGGGGTACTATCGTAAGTTCGTCGAGAAATTCTCCGTGTTGGCATCTCCATTGACGAAGCTCACAAAGAAGGGGGCTAAGTTCATATGGGATGACAAATGTGAGAAAGGGTTTCTTGAACTGAAGAAACGACTTACCGAGGCACCAGTCCTTGCTCTACCCAAGCAGGGGGTAGGGTACGATATCTATAGCGATGCTAGCATCCAAGGACTTGGGTGTGTGCTGATGCAAAAGGGTAAAGTGATTGCCTACGCTTCGAGGCAATTGAGGAAACATGAGGTGAACTACCCTACCCACGATCTAGAGTTGGGGGCGGTGGTGTTTGCACTGAAAATTTGGAGGCATTATCTCTACGGGGAGACATGTCACATTTATACCGATCATAAGAGCTTGAAGTATGTATTCACTCAGAAAGAGTTGAATATGAGACAGAGGAGATGGATGGAGTTGATCAAGGACTACGACTTAATTATCGAGTACCATCCCGGAAAGGCCAATGTAGTGGCCGATGCACTGAGCAGGAAGAGTACGTCAGGGACGTTACTCACATGTCTACAGGCATTGAGGGCACGCGTAGAGGTGTCCACGTGTGGGACCCTCATTACTAGGTTCGAGGTTAGGCCTACATTGCTGAGTGAGATCAGTAAATGTCAGGCCGTTGATGAGGAATGTCAGAAGATCCGTGAACGGATCCTTGAGGGACCCGTTGAGAACTTTCGTATACGTGATGATGGCCTGTTGCTATTTAAGGATCGTGTTTGCATACCAAAGAATGAAGAGATCCAAAAGTCCATACTAGAGGAGGCTCATTCTTCGGCCTATGCCATGCATCCAGGGGGTACTAAGATGTACAGGGACTTGAAAGAAAGTTATTGGTGGTCAGGTATGAAGAGGGACATCGCAGAATACGTGAGCCGATGCCTTACTTGCCAACAAGTTAAGGCGGAGCATCAGCACCCGGCGGGGCTTTTGCAACCACTTACCATTCCAGAATGGAAGTGGGAACATGTGACCATGGACTTCGTGGTAGGGCTACCTCGGACGGTGAACAATTATGACGCGGTTTGGGTAGTGGTTGATAGGCTCACCAAGAGCGCACACTTCTTACCTATCAACATTACTTATCCTCTTGAAAGGTTGGCCAAGTTATATCCATTGTCTCGGATAGGGATCCACGATTCACATCCAGGTTTTGGCCAAAGTTTCAGGCATCATTGGGTACTAAGCTGAAGTTTAGCACAGCCTTTCACCCACAGACAGATGGACAATCTGAGCGGGTGATACAGATTTTGGAAGACATGCTTAGGGCGTGTGCCTTGGAGTTCCAAGGAAGTTGGGACAAACACCTGGCTTTGGTGGAGTTTGCCTATAACAACAGTTATCAGGCAAGTATTGGCATGCCTCCGTACGAGGCACTGTACGGGAGGAAGTGTAGGACACCATTGTGTTGGGACGAGGTTGGTGAGGCCAAGCTCGAGGGAATAGAACTTGTTGAGATCACCAAGGCTAATGTGAAAATCATTCGTGACAGACTTTAAGCTGCCCAAGATCGGCAGAAGAGCTATGTAGACAAACGGCGGAGGCCGTTGGAGTTTGAGGTCGGGGATGAAGTTTTTCTAAGGATTTCTCCTTGGAAAGGTATCATCCGATTCGTATCAAGGGGTAAGCTTAACCCCCGATACATTGGTCCGTTTGAAATCCTGGAGAGGATTGGGGCCGTAGCTTATCGCCTCAAACTGACACCCGAACTTGAGAAGATTCATGATGTATTTCATGTATTGATGCTCAAGAAGTATGTACGGGACCCATCGCATATTCTTGAGATCCGAGAGGACTTGCAATACGCAGTGGAACCGGTAAAGATAGTGGGCCAACAGGTAAAGAAGCTTAGGAACAAGGAGAATCCTATGGTGAAGGTACTTTGGAGGAGTGATCGAGTCAAAGAAGAAACCTGGGAGACCGAGGTCTCAATGAGGGAGCAATAACCGTTTCTTTTCGATTAGACACGTTGATTTCGGGGACGAAATCCCAAATGAGGGGGGGTGAACTTGTAACACCGTCCCCAAATATAATTACCTTTATGTAATTTATGTATTGAACATGACGTATCTAGTAATGAATTTACGAGGTTGTAAATTTTTGTTATTTCTTTTGCGTGAATAGTAAATTCCACGTGGGGCCCACACTCGGAGCGAGGGTAACCCGATAACACGAGACCACATGTTATATTCATCTTGGTCTAGATAATAGTTACATGGTGGTGGGAATTCATAATGGGCCATAAGAAAGGCATTGGGTTGACCGGTTTGTCAAACAGGGCCCAATTACCAGTACCGACAATTTCTTCAGATAACAGTCCGAAATGAATTTCGGAGACTTTAAAATTAAAGTTGGGGAATGTACATTCATTCTTAAGATCCATAATTTCTATGGACATGTAATATATTTTATTTGACCCGATAAAATAAAATATGCTTAAAAGAGTCCGAAAGATACAACTTTCGGGGCCGATTGTACAGTTCTAGACATATTGAGATGACCTCCCACACAAGTGGGGGCCACCCCACGAATTTGTGTGGGCTATGATAGGGGAGAGGACGGATGAATGGGATGGGAGGGTGTAGGCAATGTTGACTTGAAGAGAATGGCATCAAAAGGACATTGGAAGGGTCCATGCCATGCTATCATTGTGTAATAAGCCAAAAAGAGGGTTGATGGAGTATATGGCCCAGGAACCCCCGGCCCATAGACTCCTACCTCTCCTACACAAGTCCATTGAGCTCAGGAAACAACTCAGGCCCAAATACAACGGCCCAAGCCTCAAAGTAGCCCAAAATACATACTGGGGTGCCTTCGGCCTCCTTGGCCGAAGGCTCCAAAACTCACAGGATAGCCTTTTTTGGCATAAGAAGCTGCTGGGAGAAAACGGGCGAAAACATAAGCCTTCGGCATTTTCATGCCCTCGGCATCAGAAAAGCCTTCGGCTGAACCAAGCCTTCGGCCACACAAGGGTCCTTACCACATGGATCCCTCGGCTACACAAGGAGCCCTCGGCTACACAAGGGGCCCTCGGCTACACAAGGAGCCCTCGGCTACACAAGGAGCCCTCGGCTACACAAGGAGCCTTCGGCTGAACTAGCTCAATCATCGAAGATTCCTTTTGGAGACAGCCAACCACCGCATTTAATACCACGTCACATCCGCCAACCGCATTCAATGCGGTTGACGTACC